GGAGCGGTATGATTTCGGGCAGAGACGTACTTAGTCCTTCTCGTCAACTGGAGAGTGAGTACTTTTTCCTTTATTTTTTTTACTTGGTCGCCCTCGTTTCACTACACATTACCTTTGTTATTTCAAGGGTAGTTGTTTCTGAAAAGGAAAACCCTAACTTTGCGGACACCCTGTATACACAGCTGATATCTAGAAATCCGTACAGTACTCACACATTCAATCGTATGCTGATGACACGCAGCTTCTGTTTCATTTTGAACCATCTCTTGTAGAACAGGCAAATGATTTAATCAACACCGACTTACGAACTACTAACAAATCTTAAGTGTCGTCTGCTCTTGGGGCATCAAGGCTGGAGCCTCAAGCCATCAGCCGCTGTTTCATATTGCGGCCGATCAGTGGGAACTATCGCGTGTGCATTAGGTGGTCTCTTTGCAACCTATACCCAGCAATTTTATGCATTATTAACATTCGTGTAATGTCTATTGTAAATACACGTTTATATCTTACAGTCGGTACACATTTTATTACTCTGTCACGACCTGAACACTAGCTTTTTCGTTGTCGTACCTTAGCTTTGAGAACACATACATAGGTGTATAATAAGCATATAAGATGTAGGGTGTCTACCTCAAAAGTATGCGAACACCTTACAAGTTCTGAAAACCACGAAATGTAGTTAATCAAAGTGATAACATAGATAGTAGATCCTTATTTACTCCATAATACAGGGTGTTCCTTAATGACATGCGAATATTAAATAGTGTGAATCTACGTGAAAAAATTAATGTTAGTTTGCTTTATAAACTATTGTCCAAAAATGTTGCCTTACAAAAACTCGGGGTGTTGCAGTATTAGGAAAAACATGCAAATTAATTAATATTTTCAGAACCGCTTCAGATATTTCACTGATATTTTGTAGGTAGTGAAAGTTAATAAAGTTCCAAATCGTTGGATTGGCCGCAGTGGCCCCCAAGAATGGCCACCAAGGTCCCCATACCTCAACAGTTCTGTGAATACTTTCGAGTGAATCCAAAAAAACACATTTTCTCTTTCTTTGTTGTCAAATAGAAAGTTTTCCCATAAAAAATGGTGTACCCATTTTATGCGTCCATGTTTTAATTACCCCTTGATCAACTTGCATCAATAAAACCAGAGTTTACAATTATTTCAGGGAAATAATATGATTAGACTATATAGTCACTTGGATCTTGGATCCCATAAACGAGCATTTGTGCATGGCCTAATGATGGCTCTGAGAGAAGTAGCTTAATCTCGCGAGCGAACGTAGATAGAAAATACGAGCCCCTTCCCACTTCAGTTGGCCCAACTATTGAAATCTTCGTTTTTTCTTATCAAACACAAATAATAAAAATGTAGCAGGGTGTTACAGGTTTAAAATATTAACAATTAATATTTTGATAATATACAGGGTGTCCCAGAAGTCGACGTCAAGCCGAAACCGGGTGATAGGCAAAGTCATACCAGCTATCAGAAAAATATTTAAAAAAATTTTATGTATATGTTTTGAAAATTATAGGTCTTTGAAAAAAATATAGAAATTTCACACCCTACGGCAGTCTATCAACTCCTGTTACTACAAATATTAACTTTTTTTGGATTTCATTTTTACAATGTAATGATGAATAATGCATCTTCAAACTGGTGTCTCAACCTTACTGCCAACTTTTCTCGTTCAGGAAAAATTGCCACTTATTTCCTAACCAAGTATTCCAAAGTAAAACTTTGCTCAACTTTAACTGGCTGTACTGGAAAAAATGTACTACGAGAGTTTGGCAAGTAACCTTAGAAGTTGGCGCATTTAATAAGGATTCCAAAATGGTATAACACTTAGAAGATTACTCGTTAAGTTATGCACAATTTTTATTTGAAAAAAAAAACTGATTAAAATATTTCAAAATTTCCGAATTAAACAGCGATTATGAAAACGCACAAGGACCCTTAAGGATAACTGTTTGCACAACAGTGGGCGTCAAAATGCTGCTGATGATGATTTACCTTTACAGCAAATGCTCAAACTGTTTTCCTTCAGCCGCAATACACGCTCGACATCTTCTTAAAAAAGATCGGGTTATTAAACGAGCGAATCCACGGTTATTAACAAACTCAGCTGCTTCCAATAGTCTTTGCCGTAGCTCAGCTACATTTTAAATCGGCTTGAAATACACTTTTTCTTTTACAGTTCCCCAGTAAAAAAAAACTAACGGACTCAAACCTGGTGACCGGACTGGCCACGGTATTGTACCAGACCGCCCTATCCATCTGCCTGGAAAGTTTTGATCGAGATACTCTCTCACTAAGAGTGCATAGTGCGCTGGGCAGCTATCATGCTGAAACCACATGTCCCTGTAAATACTCAGTGGCACGTCCACCAATAAATTTTGTACATGATTTTTCAAAAAATCCAAATAAACTTCAGCAGTCAAAGTCTCTGGGAACTCAAACGGACCGATTATTTTACCATTTAAAATTCCTGTCCAATGGTTTATCTTGAAGCGATATTGAGATTTATCTTCTCTCATCAAATGTGGGTTTGCTACGTGCCACTCGTGTAAGTTATGCAGGTTCATGTACCCCTCTTTCTTAAATGTGGTCTCATCCGACCATAAAATTTTTTCAAAGAACTGTGGATCTTTCCTGTGTCTTTCTAACATTGTGCGACAAAAAGCAACTCGGGGCTCATAATCCCGGGGCAGGAGAGCTTGAACACGCTGTACGTGGTATGGATGGAGCACGTTTTTTTGCAAGATTCTATGGGCTGTACTTTTGGGCACACCTGTTTTTAGTTCTATTGCACGCACTGAAGTACTCGGGTCTTCTTCGACAGCTCCTAGCACCACGTCTTCGTAAGGAAGGAAAGATGTTCCCTCACCGTGTGATTGGTTTGGTAGTTGGCCCTCTGAGAACAGTAAGCGGTGCACATTTGTGAACACTCGATGATCTGGATGACGAGCTGCATTCGGGTACCTCTCACATTAAAGGCTCTCTGCAGCACTAGCGTTGCATCTGCATTCCCCATAAATGAGGTGCATGTTAGCATATTCTTGTACGGTGTACACGGACATAGCGGCACTGCACAATCACACTATCAAAGATAGTCTAAGGAAAGCAAATGTTGTTTTGAAGAGCAATTAAACAGTCCAAATCCAAATCATAAGCGATCAACACGAATCCAAAATTAGTAACAGTACGAAATCAACAAGCACGAACATGTAAAGATGTGCAGTAAACGAAGGAGTACTGATCGGTATCAAAATATGCAATAGCAAGTAAGTGATGTGCTTCATCCATACCACATACAGCGTGTTCAACCTCTCCTGCCCCGGGATTATGAGCCCCGAGTTGCTTTTTGTCGCACAATGTTAGAAAGACACAGGAAAGATCAACAGTTCTTTGAAAAAAAATTATGGTCAGATGAGACCACATTTAAGAAAGATGGGTACATGAACCTGCATAACTTACACGAGTGGCACGTAGCAAACCCACATTTTATGAGAGAAGATAAATCTCAATATCGCTTCAAGATAAACCATTGGACAGGAATTTTAAATGGTAAAATAATCGGTCCGTTTGAGTTCCCAGAGACTTTGACTGCTGAAGTTTATTTGGATTTTTTGAAAAATCATGTACAAAATTTATTGGTGGACATGCCACTGAGTATTTACAGGGACATGTGGTTTCAGCATGATGGCTGCCCAGCGCACTATGCACTCTCAGTGAGAGACTATCTCGATCAAAACTTTCCAGGCAGAAGGATAAGGCGGTCTGGTACAATACCGTGGCCAGCCCGATCACCTGATTTGAATCCTTTAGATTTTTTTACTGGGGAGCTGTAAAAGAAAAAGTGTATTTCAAGCCGATTCAAAATGTAGCTGAGCTACGGCAAAGACTATTGGAAGCAGCTGAGTTTGTTAATAACCGTGGATTCGCTCGTTTATAACCCGATCTTTTTTAAGATGTCGAGCGTGTATTGCGGCTGAAGGAAAACAGTTTGAGCATTTGCTGTAAAGGTAAATCATCATCAGCAGCATTTTGACGCCCACTGTTGTGCGAACAGTTATCCTTAAGGGTCCTTGTGCGTTTTCATAATCGCTGTTTAATTAGGAAATTTTGAAAAATGTTCGTCAGTTTTTTTTCAAATAAAAATAGTGCATAAGTTAACGAGTAATCTTCTGAGTGTTATACCATTTTGGAATCGTTATTAAATGCGCCAACTTTTAAGGTTACTTGCCAAACTCTCGTAGTAAATTTTTTTTCCAGTACAGCCAGTTAAAGTTGAGCAAAGTTTTACTTTGGAATACTTGGTTGGGAAATAAGTGGCAATTTTTCCTGAACGAGAAATGTTGGCGGTAAGGTTGAGACACCAGTTTGAAGATGCATTATTCATCATTACATTGTAAAAATAAAATCCAAAAAAAGTTAATATTTGTAGTAACAGGAGTTGACAGACTGCCGTAGGGTGTGAAATTTCTATATCTTTTTCAAAGACCTATAATTTTCAAAACACATACATAAAAATTTTTAAATATTTTTCTGGTAGCTGTTATGACTTTGCGTATCACCCGGATTCGGCTTGACGTCGAGTTCTGGGACACCCTGTATAACGTCCAAAGGACATATCTCATTTTCGCGATTACAATACTTCCTCGCCGGTAGCGTTCAAAGTAAAATGGTACGTTTGGCAACGTGGCCCGTTTGAGCGGCACGGTTCAACCGGTGCGTGCATCGACAGCGGGTACCCGGGGCTCGCGACTTGTGCGATCATTAAAGTCTCCACGGCCGTCGAGGCAGAGACAGGCGTACCACCGTTCCGGTACCAAGATATGACTGGCAGCCACCGCGTATGCACTTGACGGTACCCGCACGTTGTTGCTCATTTCACTTTCGACACCGCGTAATTGGTGACTTTTCTGCATCTGTTCGTGTGTCCCGGATCTGTTTTGGTGCGGCGGTTTCTCTTTAATTGTTGTTGACTGTAGTTTTTCGAAATGAAGACAATGTGTACCGAGGCGCCACCGCCAGCTATGTGGCTTATGATGACTACTGTCCTGGTTTTAGCCGGTTTTGCGTCGGGTAAAGGTAAGTTCAGCTTTTCAGTTGAGCAGTGCCAATTTTTTCTTCATAGCAAGATTGATTCTAAGATTTCATGGTTAGGTGGTCATTCACACCTTAATTTTGGGTATAGTGTCGTAAGTGTAATAAATACATACAGGGTGCGGCATCGAAGGCGAAACAGACGCATTTACTGGTAGCTCAGTTTTTATTTTGTAAAACGCTCTGACCCGTCGATTTTGTTTTCGAGGGGGACACAAGTTTGGCAAAAAATCACGTTAACACGTGCAGCCCCCTGGGCGGGGGTGACACCAACCCTAAAATCTTAAATTTAAAGGGGGGTCGAGTGGTACCTTCTTTTAAAGGTCTTTCAATTCCCTTTATAATGATGTAAAATACATGAGCTTCAGTTCAGTAGTTTTGAAGATTTATTGATTTAAAGCTTAAAGTAGACTTTAATAAGTACATCAGATTAGTTTGTACTACTTTCAGAAGAAATTTGATTAAAACAATTTACTTAATAAGTAAATGCTTTTCTTCACTACGCCCATGGTTTGTTTGTCATTTTGTTGTTGAAAATAGCTATTGGAGCGTTTTTTTGTGGCCAAAAAGTTATTTCTTGAAGAAAGATAAGGAAATATCTCGGAATTATTTTAAATAGGAATTTAGTACATATTTTGCGATTGCTTTGACCAAACTTTGTTGCTAAAATAACTTGTAACGCTTTATTACATGAATCAACCATTGTATATTCCACAGCAGAAAGAGGTGAGATTATCGAAATATTTTTCGGAAATAATCAGTGCGCTAATCGAACAGCAAAAATATTTAATAAGCGACATGAGAACAGTAAGCTGCATCGAAAATATGTTCTAGAACTTGTAGCTAAATTTCGGGAAACTGGGTCAGTCGCCAATAAAAAACGCAACATTGAAAATCCCATAAGGAAAGAAGCAATTGAAGTGGAGGTTTCAGGGCAAGTTTATGTAGATCCTACGTTAAGTACCCGCAAATTGGAGACTGTGTGTGGTGTTAGTCGACGTACTGTCCAACGGATTCTAAAAGCCCATAGTTTTCATCCGTATAAAATTCAACTGGTACAAGAACTTAACCCATTCAACTCCAGCTACAATTTCAAAAATGTATCCTACATACCAGATCATGTCTTTTCAAGCTTTCATAAATTATATTAGTACAGTTGAACTTGATCATTCGTACAGGTTTTTGTTTTTAGTGAGTTTTCTTATTCCTCGTCTTCGACAGACAACGCAGACCTTTAGTAGAGCGCGATTTTTTCCTTGTTCTTTTGGCAAGTACACCATAACATGTTTTTCTTTGGAGGATTTACCTGTGGAAGTTGACGGTTGAGTTTCAAACATCTTCCGATACCCAGGGCTATATTTACTTAGAATATCATTACAGCACAATTTTATATAGTCATACATAGCACTTTGAGAGCCTCCGGTTGCATGTGTGTATAAAACTCTATAGTTCAGAAAATCTGAGACATTAGAAAAAACCCACTTTTGAGAACCAAGTGTAACTTTTCCTTAAAGAATTATATGTCTCCTAATCCTGATCGATTGCATCCACAGCACCCATATTTTGATTGTAGTATTGAATATGGGAAGGTTTTTTGAAAGTAACTATTTTTCTTCCCACCTTATGGCGACTCTTTTCATAAAAACCTGCAGTATTATTTGTTGTTAACAGATATACATATTTTTTGTCTTTATATTTAACTAGTAGTTTCATATCTTTCCATACGAAGCATGATTGGTATTGCTCTAATGGTATGTTGCACAGTTGTCTGGGCACACCTAGATTTACTCTTATTGTTCCAGTTAAATATGGTTCTTGGGAAAGTAAAAATTTGGAAGTATATACCAGTTATCCAAAATAACTTCACGGCAACTGTTTAGTAGGTTTCGAGCTAGGTGAACTACGATTGTTCCCGAAACTGACAAACTTTCAGTACCTGATATATGTGTTACGTCAAATGTATCTTTGCCTATATATAGACAAAAGTTCCAGAAATAACCTCTTAGATGTTGAGCACTTGGACATAATGCAAACATTTTTATTCCAAACCTGCTTCTTTCACTTTTTATATATTGGCGAAAATGCAGTCTATATATCTTTATAAAGCATTAGGTGTTCATCAATAGCAAAAACTGGTCCGGGGTCCACTAAGGTCATGCAGTTATCTTTCAGCATAGCCATAAAAATGCCAAGTCTACTCATGGGAGCTCGGGCGCTAGCCGCTTCCAGGTTAGAAAATCTGATAAACTTCAAGATAGATAGGTACCTGTTTCGGCTCATTATTGTTTTGTCAAACACTTTTGGTCCAGAACATAACATACTTTTACTGCAATAATCTGTTATGCGAGGACATTTAGTGAGTCCGGTCAAAAAATGAAGTGTAATAAAAATATACATTTCCCCTTTTTCAAGGTTCTTCCACTGAAGACCAAATACAGTATCGATATTATTTTTCTCGAGATACATCTCTGCTCTATTGTTGGTCCATTCCCATAATTTGGTTACAATGTTCGGGCTCACAAAACATTCAAAACAATTCACTGGATCTTTACATTCTTCCCATTCAATTGCAGGATGAAAATCATAATCTGAAGAAAAATCCCTCACTTGTCTAGGCTGCTGATCGGCAAAAGGGTCACCTAAAACCTGCCAGTCCTCAATGATTACGTTCTCAATTTCATCATCGTCGTCAGTGTCTGATTAAGAGTCTGAATCGCGATCATTTAGTTGGTCCTTTTTTCTTACCTAGAAATTTCACCGGTGGAATGTATTGGAATTACTGGAAGACGCCATAGATCCAGCATTAACAGCCATAATTGAAAATCAGAATGATCGGCGGTACATTGCGAATAGGTTGATGTTCCAACAGGATGGTGCCCCACCACATTACGCATTACGTGGTCGACAATATTTAGATCAGACGTTTCCAGATCTATGGATTGGTAGAAGAGGTGCCATTGAATGGCCCCCAAGATCGCCAGATTGATCACCCTTGGATTTCTTTATGTGGGGTCATTTAAAAAGCAAAATCTATGCTACTCAGCCAACATCATTAGAAGACGTGCGACCTGATTTTTTGTTTTCTAAGGCACTTGTGACTTTTTTAGCAAAAATTAATAGACCAGTCTTGTCCAGTGAGATGCAATAAAACCTTTTTTTTCCTCGAAAACTCAGTGAGTCACCAAAAAAATACAAGAGGCGAAGAAGTTGTATACTTTTCACATTTTCTACGTTCCATATAAATTAAATAGATAGATTAAGAGACCATATAACGTCACTCTGTATATTATAAACAAGCATTCCAAGAACCCTGCTTCACCAATAAAAATCGAAGCTTTCAGAATCACATAATAAGTTATAAGCATTGCTGTGTATGATGCTCATTATATCACCCAAGTGGCAGTGCTTTGATTTATTGCTTTAATCAGCTTACCTTTGCCCCAACATTCCAGTGCAACGCTGTATAATAACACCATTATACACTATGCTTGAGGTTCTGGCGCCATATTGCACATCATTCCACATTATTCATCAGGAACTCAATATGAAAGTGGAATCAAAACCCCGCAGTGGCTCGACAGGTCAACAGACAATTTCAAAATCAAAAAGACAGATCAGTGAATTGAGTCCTGTTACAGTTTCTTTTTGTGGTCGACTGAAAATTAACTAAACCTTGATGAAGTAAATTATTACACATTTTTCTTATTCAGAATAATAATTTTAGAACAGTTCTTAACACATTGACTGCGAACTGGAATGAGGATACCCACCTCAGAAGCTGAAATACTTTTTTCCTTTTTTTGGAAGCCGGCAGAGAGCGTCGAAAGACGCCGTTCGCCTCCCACCACAGGAGCGGAGGGCGTCTTTTGACGCTGTTCGCACTGAACGTGTTAAAAAGATCGAATTTTATTTTTCTATCAAACACTTCTCCATCTCGTTGAATGGCATTTTTTATAATATCCGTCGTATATAAATACGAGAGCTGGACGTGACTTGGGGCTGTTTTCTTCCTGCGCCCTCGTGTCGCAGTTCAACGTCCACAGCCCGATTTAGTGAAATAATTTCACACCCAGTGCTGGGTTTTTCCGGGTTGTGGAGATTTGTTTGGTGTTTGTATCTTGTTTAGCGCCGGAGATCAAAAATTTGTTACTTGTTATTTCTTTTCCTAGTTCTTGGAACTCATTAACTACCGACTGAGTACAGTTACATTCTTTTACCAAATTATAACTATACTAAGTGACATATAAATCCGAACACCCAGTTTAAATGGTTTTATTTTAATAAAATTTTGTATAAGTACTTAATGAAGCATAATAAGTAGATGATAAAAATTTCAAAATGATTGCACTGCTTTAAAGCCCTTTGACCTTTAATAATGTGTGGATGCACCCTGATGTGCTACGCATTCTCCAACGCGCCTAGGCATGCTTCTGATCAGGTGATCAATGTCCTCCTCTGGTATCTCATTCCAGGCAACCACCAACTCCTCTCGAAGTGCTTCTAGAGTCTGAGGAGGACGTTGCAAATTGAGCAATCTCCTACCCATCATATCCCACACGTGCTCAATTGGGGATAAGTCGAGAGATCTTGGTGGCCATGGTAACAATGTGACATCATTATGTTGAAAGAAGTCTATTGTGACTCTTGCAACATGTGGTCGGGCATTATCTTGTTGGAAAGTTGGATCTGCCAGGGTGTCAAGATAGGGTAAAAGATGGGGTTCTAGAACTTCGTGGATATAACGCTGCGCGTTCATGTTACCTCTGATGAGGATTAAAAGTGACCTGGAACCATAAGCTATAGCATGCCAAACCATAACTCCAACAGTGTGATGAACATGTCTTTCAACAAAAAACTGTGGATTCCTCATTTCACCACGTCGCCTTCTAACCCTTACACCGACGTAATCGCCTTGAGTGGTGCAGACAACGGTCACTCTGGGATCAGGAATGGAACAGTATTGTCTTTAGTGACGAGTCTCGATT